ATGATATGCAAAGCTACTAATTGGTCAGATGCTAAATGTGTCAGACAATAAACCTAGTTTGTTTCACCCTCCCATTACATCGCATATTACTTATTTTCTCTGCCATATTCATAACCATAGCACAAATTTGACATCTCAGTACTTTTGTAAATATGTTCATTGCTTCATTGTAGCTGCATTTGAATTTGCACTTGATGAAATTCGTTCCAGCAGTGACTGTAGTTCTGGTTTCTGTTAGGCAGAGCCTATTGAGTGGAACACTTTTGATTCAGAGAATGCTAACTTAAACATACTGATCATTATGAGAAATTAAGGTTTTGAATTACTCTGCATTGTGGGCCCAATTCATATATTTTGATTACCATGAAAATATGCCACTTATGAAATTCTACCACTTCATTGTCAGTGACTGCAGTCACTGACAATGAAGTGGTATTTTGTAATGGAATCCATATAATTATATTTTTCTTATGCAGATAATTTGCCTTTTCTCGAGTGTTTCTACAATTTTGGCCACTAGTGTATATGGTGTATTTTTTTTAAATAGAAAACGCGAAAGTGAAATTAAAACAGGAAAAGGAATAAAAAATTCAAGAAAAATATTAAGTTCAGGAAGTGTCAGAAAGCATGAATTATAGAATTCGCTTATATGCTTCATGACAATTTCACAAATTATAAACCATTTAAACCTTAAATAATGTTTACTTTCGTCACCTATAAGAATGCGTTTGTACCACTCGCCTTCAATCAACTGCAGGTAGTTAAATTGACATGTCCGAATGAGGAAGAGCCGCTAGGAGGTAATACAGGGTGTCCAAAAAGTTAGTTCACCTAAATTTTTAGGATACCCTGTATTTCCTCTTCCCGCTTGGGGGCGGAGCATTGCATTAAATCCAAATCGTGATTTGAAGTAAAACGAGAGGGGGAATCGTCGGGGGGGGGGGGGGGGGGGAAAGAAAGTGGCCTTACCTGGTCTGTCGTTTGCCGGAGCCACGCGGAAGAAACTTCTTCCCGCCGTAGTCACAGACGAACTTAACTTGTCCATATTTTAGGTCGGATTTGATTGGAATTTTTCGACGCTTTTGCGCCGCTTCCACTGATCTTGAATCCCGAATGACCAGGGAAATGAAATTACTTTTTTCAAACTCTTCTTTCTTGCGCAAGAAAACTTCAAATGATGGAAACTTTTCATTCACTTCAAAATTCGCGCACTCTTCACACATAGCCATGGCAGAACGCCTTCTGTCGTCATTAAACTGGACCAATTACAAAGCTACCGGGCCCCCAAATTGTATCGTTTCCCGTGTCCGGTAGCGGCGCTGGTGTCGAGCAACCTTGGGGGCCCGGCAGGCAGCTGATTGGTCGTTGTGTAGCGCGTGTCGACCAATCAGCGAACTACCGGGCGCCGAAGTTGCAAGATGTCCGCGCCCGGTACCGGACCCCTAGACACAGCGTCAGTTTCTCTTCTGCTCGTGCGTTTGCCGGATCGCCTTCAACCTCAACTTGGGCCACTTCAGCAAATATCGCAAGAGAAACTTTCTCCTGTTTCTTATTCACCTATTATCTTCTCATTTTTATAAATCTGCTTCTGTATCGCCTCATAGCTCTTGCCTATTCAGTAGTTAGTTCTTTAGTCTGTCCATGTTCGTATCCTTGATCGTGTAAAAAAAAAAA